AAAAAAAAAAAAAGAATTTAAGGAATCAGGAGACAGACTTAATTGAATCCTTTTCTAAACAATTTTTTTAAATGTTATTTTTGAGAGAGAGAGAGAATCTGAAGCAGGCTCCAGGCTGTCAGCACAGAGCCAGAGGCGGGAGCCTCAAACCCACTAACCACAAGACCAAGACCTGAGTCAAGCCGGACGCTTAACCAACTGAGCCACCCAGGCGCCCGCAAAACCCTTTCTTGTACTACTTTACCGTTCTTTCCCTACTGGACGAATTAGATTTCTAAATTCGATTTCTTGAGTACTTCCATTACATATGCATATATAGGTAAGCAACACACGCTAGTTTTACATGTTTTAAGATCGTATGTATGTAAATTATCATGCTATTGTACATTTTACATCTTCCTCTTCTGGCCTCGTATTTCTGGATTTAGTATTGATTTTAGTGGCATACACCATCCCATCACATGAGCATCCCGTTCATGTGTTTCTCACCAGGAGATGGCTCTAATTTTTTGTTTCTACTCAGCGCTGTTACGCACAGTCTTGTCAAACTTTCTATAAGAAAAATGCTTATAGAATGCTTAAAAGCAGAATGTTAGAATACAGTATTGGAAAACTTGCAGTTTTCCTTTATTCTGCCAAAGTGCTTCCCAAAACGGAGGTAACGTTTACGCACCTACCGGCAAGAACGTGGTTATGCGTGACTCAGAGAGAGAAAAAAAAAACCTTAGAAAGGCATACAAACTGGATAATACGCTCGCCTCCCTGTAATCTGTCCTCTGTGCCCACGTAATCACTCTGCAAGCGGACGCACAACCGTTACGAGCCCCGCAGAAGGGCTCAAACTCCGAGAGGCCGGCGACGCCCACACACGCGCACTTCCGGCGTAAGCTCAACGCCAAGGCGAACGTCGGCCCGCTTGGGCGTCGGCGTCCTCTTTGACGTCCTTGAAGGCCCCTTTCCGGGCTGTCTGGAAAGGTCCAAGTGTCCGCGTGTGTAGGTCTATCGCCTCTTTTTCACAAAAAAAGAAAAATATTCAGACGGGCTCCCCTGGCTCTCTGACAAGATCCCTTTCCCCCGGAAGAGTCACTTTCGGCCGGCGTTTCTTTCAGGCAGGGCCGCGGGCAGCCCCGAGGCCCTTGTAAGGCGCGCGCCGCAGCCCCGCCTCCTTCCTTTCGGCCGGAACCGCCATCTTCCAGGTACGGCTTGCGCGTGGCTCCCGGTGCCGCTGGTCCCGGAGGCTGGAGGCCGGCCGCCGTGGGCGCTCCGGCCGTGCAGGGAGGCCCTGCAGAGCCGGGGTAGACTGTTCGGGGCGCGCCAGCCTGGGTGGCGGAGCTGTGTCCGACCACACCGGGGGCCGAGCGCCAGACTGCGAGGCCGCGGCCCTGCGGGGGGAGAGGAGAGGCTCCAGGGAAGCGAAGGCGAGTTACGGGGGTGAGGCGACCCGGGCCAGTCTAGGGAACGGTCGGTTCCTCTTGGGTCCCCTCCCCCCGGCTTTAGCCTCCGTGCTCTGGGCCTTCGGACAGGCTGTGTGCGGTCGCGTGGCCCAGGCAGGCCTCTGGAACTCCTGTAATGTGCGGTCTAAACTCGGAAGAGGGGACGCCCCCTGGAGTCCTGGGCGCTGTGAACCCCAGACCCGGCGGCGTCGGTGTGTGAAGTTCTCCCAGTTACGCATTTTAGGCTCAGATCGCATTCGGACAAACGGAAAGTACTGTCCGGCCGCCACGGGGTGGTGGTTTGTTCACGCCGGGGCAGTAGGTGAAGGGGTTCCCCAATAGTTATGCGTCTCGTGTAGAATCTTAAGGGAAACGTTAGTGAATTACCACTTAATCTTAGTTTTCTTTTTTCTCCTTTTTCTTTTTCTCGGGGGACGGGGTTGGTTGTTAGATTTTAGCTCCCAGAGCTGAGCGAACTGCAGGTTGCGGGCTGTCGTGGGCCCCGTTTGGTGCTGCTGGAGAATCTAAAGAAAGCGTCGCTGCTGCCCTACATCAAGTATTTTCAGAAACGTGTGTTGGGTGATTCCTCACTGGGGAGAGTGGATCGGGGGCAAAGAAGGGTTTCTGGAGTCAGAAAACACGTCCGGTACTGAATCTGCCTCTTCGTGGCTCCGTACAAGTGATTTGGACCCGCAGAGAGCATCGCTCCTGCTTATGAACCTCGCTCGTAGGAGCTTGATGCAAATGTCGGGAATGTGAGGATTAAAGCGGGGTATCTGGTACCTAATAGATGCTCACTTAACGATTCTAACTGATTTGGGTTTGGTGGGTTAGGTGAAACGTTTGTGTCTCCTTGCTTTTCAAGTTGGTACCTTGTGGAGTCGCTTTTCTTTGAGAAGCGTTATTAATAGGGATTTACGTTAGTCTCTGGTTTCCTAGGTTTTTCCTTGTGTTAGGAGGAATTCCCAGGAACGGGAGGTCTGCTCTCCAATGACCTGAGGCAATAACCATTGTTTTAACCTTTTGGGGAGCAGTCAGAGATGCAATTTGAAATGCCTATATATGAATTCTTGACTAATAAGTTAACTACCACTTACCATGAAACACACACTAGAAACTGCCCAATGGGGGCCCCTGGGCGGCTCAGTCGGTTAAGCTTCGACTTCGGCTCAGTTCATGATCTCACTGGGTTCAAGCCCTGCGTCGGGCTCTGTGCTGACAGCTCAGCCTTGAGCTGCTTCCGATTTTGTGACTCCCTCTTCTGTGCTCCTCCCCTGCTCACATAGGCGCGCTCCCCACCTCTCTCAAAAATAAACGTTAGAAAAAGTTGCTGGGGGCTTTATAGACATGATCTCAGTTATAAGAGTATTAACCCCATTTTACAGATGAGGATCAGGGTTTAAATAATTATGGTCCCCTGTAAGTGGCAGAATTTAAGTCAGAATTAGGTCAGTGGTTATAAAGCCTGTATTTCTTCCTTTCAGTTGTACATGCATTTGCTAGGGAATGATTAAGAAAATAATCAGAGATACGAAGGGATTGGGAAGCTGTTTGCAGTTAACAGATGCTGTATAAGACGCAGCGTCACAAGAAATTACGTCAGTAGGAGAATGGTTTAATCCGCTGCGTAGAATGCAGGGCTGAGCGTCAGACAGCGGTAAACTGCTGTCCAGTTAGTAATCGCAGCGGCTTCCCAGCCGGGCCCTGCAGAGCTCGGGAAGGGGTGTGGTGATGCTGATCTAGTAGGGACAGTGCTGGTGTTGTTCCAAAATCCAGATCTGTTGGTAGCATTGAGGTTAACGACTCTTAGGCAGTTTTGGCAAAGATCCTAGATGCCAAAGTGATGGGTTTTTACAAACCTTTATGGGAAATATTGGTGAGTCAGGTGCTTAGACTTCTTTGTTGCTCCTGTGAAGCAAGCATTTGAAATGTACAGGGTTTGATTGGGATTTTCTTGTTTAAAAAGACGATCAATTTTGCAGTTTTGTTTGACTGTTTTATACTTAACTGTTTTCAGTAATTCGCCAAAATGACCAACACAAAGGGAAAGAGGAGGGGCACTCGCTACATGTTCTCTAGGCCTTTTAGGAAACATGGTAAGTAGATATTTCCTTCTTGAGAGCAAACATAGTATACGTTCATCTAATGTGTGTTTAATAAACGGCCTTAATTAAGCAGCATCTACCTAACTTGTTCTTTGTGATAAATAAAAAGTATAAATTTCCTATAGTAGTTTTTGGTCGACACAACTGTCAAAGACCAAGTATGTTGAAAGCTAGTAAGCTTACGTGTTTCTTTTACTCTGGACTCTTTTCATCTTGATACTAACTGTACTGATCTTTTGGGGACAGGAGTTGTTCCTTTGGCAACATACATGCGAATCTACAAGAAAGGTGATATTGTGGACATCAAGGTAAATTCTAAAATTGGATAAATAACCTACAGAGTAATGTTAGACACTATAAAAGTTTAATATTGGAATTCAGATCCTCGTGCGTATTGTATTACATGTGTTGGCCTTTTATTGTGAGAGAGGGGGACATTTTTGGCCTAAATAAGAGCTCATAAGTGCAGAATGGCTAATTTAACTTTCAGAAACCAGGATTTTTAAAGTGCTATTCTTGAATCTGAAAACTTTCTCATTTCTTGTTTGTTAACAGGTAGAGGAAAAACCAAGAGTTTTTTGAGGTGGAAAGGAAAAGTATATTAGTACAAAATTGTTGATGGAGATAGCCATTTTTTAAAAAACCTGTGAAAGTTAATGTTCTTTTGTGACTGTATTTAATTAAACCCTGGTACTCTAGAGCTTAATGATGATTGTCTTTTTGATTGTTTAAAGCAATGTGAAAAACCCATTTCACCGGCTCTGAAAGCTCTCGAGTTGCCATTTAAAAGAAAAATATTAATAAGAGTCAGGATGTGAAAAGGGGAAGTTGCTGGCCTGACTTTGATCTCCTCCTTAACAGGGAATGGGCACTGTTCAAAAAGGGATGCCCCACAAATGTTACCACGGCAAAACTGGAAGAGTCTACAATGTTACCCAGCATGCTGTTGGCATCGTCGTAAACAAGCAAGTTAAGTGAGTAACACCTGCGTCTTTCTAGCTGATCAGTATTCCCTCACACCCCCTTTTCACTTTGCCAATTGGACTTATGTCTTTATTGGTCATTCAAGTGGGGCAAAGGAAGTCTCCTTTTCAAACTCAAGCAAACTGGGTGTTTGCCTTGTATCCTGTCAGAGGAAACAAATTGAACTAGACTTCAAGAAAAGAGTTCTTGGGATTTGGTGTTGAGCAGCTCTAGCGTTCAGAGTATAAAAGGGTGTGTAACACATTGTAAATCTAGTTGGGGATCGGGTTTTGGTTATTTAGTGTTTTAGGGTCTGTCACTTCATGAAAAGACAGTTTACAAGTGGGAGTGTTTGCCTTTGGGCCTCTTCCGTACAATTAATCAATGATTGTAAGCTAGCTGTATCTTGCTGTCTAATCCTATTCGTAAAAGGTTCATGGTTCGCTTATTTATTTAAAACGGGTTGTGGTTTCTCGTTTTTGAGAGAAAGTGCACGTGAGCACATGAGAGCCCGGGAGGAGGGCCAGAGACAGAGGGTAGGCTGTCCGCACGGAGCCCAATATGGGGCTCAGTCTCCCACATTGGGAGATCATGGCCTGAGCTCAAATCAGGAGTTGGACACTTATTATGGTTTTTTGTTTTGTTTTATTGTTTTTAATGCTTGAAATTGCCAGAAATGCTTTTGGACTTCGTTAATGTTTGCTGGAGCGTTTATAGGAATTTCTGCTCTCTCCAGGGGAAAGATTCTTGCTAAGAGAATTAATGTACGTATTGAGCATATTAAGCACTCAAAGAGCCGAGACAGCTTCCTGAAGCGTGTGAAAGAAAATGATCAGAAAAAGAAGGAAGCTAAGGAGAAGGGTACTTGGGTTCAGCTGAAGCGCCAGGTAAGTGCTTGGCAGACGGTTTCTTGGTATTGATTGCTCTTGGGAATTTTAAAGCTTGCTCAGTAATAATTTTCTTTATGAAAGTTGATGAATTGAGTATGTTATGCTATTTTGGTTTTAAGGGCACTTTGAAATTGATGATCGTGCTTTACATAATCGTTCCCTTGCCTTTTTTCCTGATAGCCTGCCCCGCCCAGAGAAGCACACTTCGTGAGAACCAATGGAAAGGAGCCTGAGCTGCTGGAGCCCATTCCTTATGAGTTCATGGCATGATAAATGTAAAAACATAAAATAAAAGACCTCAAGACTGTAAAATGTTTTCATGTTTAATTGAGTAGCAGTGTGGTATCCTCTCCCCCAAAGAAATATTTAAAGCAAATGTGTCCAAATTCATTGGGTGATGTCTTATTCTAATTTTGTGAGTTTGGGGGCACCTGGGTGACTCAGTTGGTTAAGTATCTGACTTTGGCTCAGGTCATGATCTTGCAGTCTGTGAGTGTGAGCTGTGTCAGGCTCTGCTGACAGCTCAGAGCCCGGAGCCTGCTTCTGATTCATTCATTCTCATTCTCTCTCTCTCTCTCTCTCTCTCTCTCTCTCTCTCTCTCTCTGCCCCTCCCCCGCTTACACTCTGTCTCTCTCAAAAACATTTATTTAAGAGTGGGGTTTTTTTCTTGCTGAAAAATGTGAAGTGGTTTATTGTACAACAGAATATGCTCAATTGATTAGGAACTGCCAGATAGTACTTATAAAATATTTAATAGTTTAAAAACACTCCCTCCAAATCGCTAAGTAAAAGGAATCTTAAAAAATAGGTAAAAGGTTATCTGTTGCGATTGCATCTAAGCTCACTTGAGTACTTAACAATTGTATCAAGTCTTAAATAGCTATGTTATAACGATAAAGAACTTCCCTTTGAAGCTCATTACTTAAAAATAGATGGTTTAAAGCACTCTTGATTCCTACTAAATTATTTTCCCTGTCATTTCCTGTTCGTTTTTTTCTGTATGGTATTAGGAAAAGTTTATTTATTGGAAATACTTTCTATTGCCCCAGGTCCCTTTGCCCGAAAATACCTACCCTTGATAAAGTTGGTGAACTTCTGATCATCCTTTGTTTGCCTTGCATGTCATAAGTGAACCTTCCTGATAAAAGTATTTTAAGGGGAGGAATGAAAGTGTTTGGAATCCGGAGAAAATGTGGTTTGGGACGATAGAATAAAATCCCTTATATCTGTTACCATGACAGGTGCGTCTGCTTTTTTTACAGTGTGTGATTTTTAAAAACTTGGCCTTCCCCGTTGGACCCGAGGCTAGAGATGGTGTCTTAGCAGCTTTGCACTCCTGGGGCCTGGTGCAGAGTCAGTATTTAATACATGCTGTTGGGATTATAAGGAAAGCACTGCCTTTTTTTATTTTTTTTTAAATGTGCAGACGTTTTCTAATTAATCTTGTTTTCCTGTGGCCTTTACGATAAACTTTTCCTGGTTTTTGAGGGCTCGTAACCCATTTGTTCATGCGTAGTTGGGATTGAGTATCCCATATGCTGCAGAAACCTCAGCAGTTCGTGGTTCATTTTCCAGCAGTTCTGTTAACCTGTCTGTTGCCCCCTGTAAAGTACGCGTGTTCCATGTGTGTGCGTCGGGATTGGGCCCAATGGTTCCCAGGGGTCCTTTGTGCACTTGGGGCCTATGATTCCATGTCAGACCGTGACCACCATGACGGTTGTGAGAAAAGACAGGGTGGAGGATAAGATCACCTCAATCCAGACAATACTGAGAAAAAGAAGGGCCACTAGTAGAACTGGCTTGGGGACTTCCGTCAGGGCAGCTGGCCAGCACGCGGGACATCTTTGTCCCAGGTAGCTAGGGGGCCGTGATTTCTCTCAAGTGCTGTCAATGGCAATAGTGACACTGGGAATGTACATAAAGCATCTTGAGCATTTTGGATTAAAAACGGGTTTTCGAAATTCTCAGTTCATTTTGAGAGTAAGTTGCTTTCCTAAAGGGTGGTACTAGTTTGTACTCCCACGGATGAAAGTTCTTGTCTCCACACTTAGAATTCAGTCTTGGCCAATTTGGTGGGAGGAAATCCCGTGTATGTTACTGACTTTGGCTTCACGAACTTCTGAACGCTTTCCTGGTTCCCTTTTGTCTTCTGATCTTAACCATCTTTCGGACCTCCAGATTCGGAAGGGCCGTATAACAGCCTTTCATCGTCTGGTTGGTGCCTGCCTTTCTGACCTACAGCTTCAGCCCCAAAGTCCACTTCAATTGCGCTAGCTTTGCAGTCCCTCAAATATGCCAAGTAACACGTTTCGGCTTTTGTACTTGATATCTAATAGGCCGCATTCCCATTGTCCCCTTTTTTCAGTCTCCTTGAATGTTACCAACACTAAAACTAAGCAAACCCCTTCCCCACTCTCCACCCCATCGCTGTAGTACTTAACCACTGCCCTACGTGTTTCATTTTGTTGGGTTTCATCAACTTAACATTATTAGGGTAGGGGGTACTTGTTACCTACTCTGCCAGGGGAGCACGGACAAACCGTAAAGATTATAATCTAGGAGGAGCAATGAGACCCTGAGCTACATGAAGCAAGATGAGCTGCGACATCGTGGTGTGTAGACGGACAGCAGAGGGGAGAGCATTGGTGTTGACGGCTCAGGCTTCTGCTCTCGTTTCATGGATTATTCCCGGTCTCTTGTACCCGTGCCCCTTTCCCCTTGCTTCTTCCTTGACGTCAGCCCTACAGACGCGTGAAAAACAGCAAATTAAATTAAGCCACTTTTCTTGTGCCTGCCTTGTCCCATTTGTAACTTCATTTCCTAGTGTCCCGGTGCAAATCTGGCTTCTGCCCCCATCATTCCTAAGACTCCTCTCAAAGGTTACCAAACACTCGTAATGTCCGTTTGATTTTATCTCCTTGATGTCTGACAGTGCCAACAACTTACTTTCTGTTCCAGAGGCTTCTGCCATCCTACTGCACCCAGGTTTTTCTACCTGTCTGACTCTCCACTCTGTTTTTCTGGCTTCTCCTTGATGTCCGCATCTTTCTCTATTCTCTGTACTTTCCGAGTGACCCAAGCCAATGGTTCTCAAGTGTGGTTCCCCATCTGGCATCTCCATCTTCTGAAACTTGTTAAAAATGTGGGCCTACTGAATCAAATTCTGGGGGTGGGCCCAGCGCTCTTCACAACCTCTCCGGGTGGTTGAGATGCTTGCTCAAGTTTGAGTCATCTCTACAACACTTGAGACTCAAATTTCAGAGCTCACATTCTCTGAAGCTCTGACTGTATTCCCAGCTCCCTCTTGGGCAATTCCATCTGGATGTCCTGCAAATATCACACAGATTAGTTTGGAGGGTGTTTATTATTGGAGAAATAAATTGCATCCAATTCCCTGAGCTTTGAGTAATGTATGTGTGCGCTGGTAGATAATGTACCTGCCTTTTAAATAATGAGTAACTTACAGATTGTGAAATTGTAAATGAAATCTCTTACCATGTAATTCCCTTTTCCTACACTTGATGAAGGAAAATGTTCTCACTGTAAAACTTTTCATCTTGTTCTTAAATTAGAGCCATGACTGTAAATGAAGGTGCCTGTCTCCTTGAACTTTCACATCTATCTTTTCTGATCTAGCTAGACATCTTCTAAGGCCTTCTGTTTTTGTTCAGTTGAGCCCGATCCCAATGGTTGAATAAAATGTGTCACACTCAATGTGGTGGGGGAAAAAAACCCACAGTTTGGTATCTCTTATGTATTCTCAATAGCTTTTCTCTGTACTATGGTGGGGTGGGGGGAATGGGAAAAATATAAACAATATTGCTAAGATGTAGTATTACAAGTTGCTAAAACATAAACAAAGTAGGTCTATTTTTTGAGTGCAAGAGAAATAATTTAAAACAATTGGATTTGGAAGACCAGTGTTTAACCCATCCTCACCAAAAAGGAAAACAATTGGTATTGTTTATACCAAACCCTCACAGAATGTGTTTGGCAAGCTACTCATTATGAATAACAGGCAGCATCTGCTGCTATTCTTGCTGAGGTGGAAGTGTGAACAGAGAGTGAATAAGCAGCCCAGAGTTTCTGTATTGTGATTCTTTTCAAACTGCTGAAGTGTGCAGTGACGAGTGACTGACAGGCTGGGACATACAACCCCACGTGGAAAAAGCACAGAAAGTGCTCTCGTACATACTTTCCTAGCAAGACTGGAATTTATCCAGATCATTTGATTTGGAAAAGCAATGCGGTGCAGCACTCTCTTGTCTCTGAAATGATGTGATAGCTTAGCCCAAGTGAAGAGGTGATTGAACTTTTCACTCCTGAGCAAGAAGGAAATCCAAAAGAATTGCTTATGGGCGATGAATAAGTAAATACTTTCAAGATCAAGAGCAAAGATGATACTCTGTGATTCATATGCTCCTGGCACTGACAGTTACATATAGTTAGGGCTACCTTCCTCAAGGACAGTTCAATGGCTTTCCATAGCCTCCAGATAAATTCCTGAGTGTAGCATTCATTGCCATACACAGCCTGGTCGTCACCACCTTTTTGGGTCATCCACTACGTCCTAATACTTGAGTCTACCACTTGCTCCCCAAACTTGAGTTATACTTCCTACTTTCATGATTTTGCTCATGTTCTTCCTTCAACTTGACATGGCTACCTCCCACCCTCTGTGTTTCCACCTATCAAATAGTAATGATGCTCAGAGACCAAGCCTTTTCTCCATGTAGCTTTCCCTGATTACCACCCCTACCCCCGCCCCCTTTCAGATTCAGTTCTCCCCGCTGTAGCTCTATGGGGAGTTGGCACCCTGACCTGCTTTGTCACTCCTTGCCCACGACGGGGGTGTTTTCCGTCCTGCTCTCTACGCTGATGGGAAGTGCCCAAGACTTGACATCAGAGGGGTTGGGGTGTCTGCTACTGAATGGCTCTATGATTTGGGGTAAGGCACTGAACTTGTCTGAATCTCAATTTAGGAGATATTTAACCTGTGTTACAGGCTTAGTTTAAGATTAAGGAAGAAATGGGGCTCCTGGGTGGCTCAGTTAGTTAAGCGTCTGACTGGCTCAGGTCGTGATCTCTCAGTTCATGAGTTCGACCCTGCTTTGGATTCTGTGTCTACCTCTCTCTCTGCCCCTCCCCTGCTCACACTCTGTCTCTCAAAAAAAAAAAATATATATATATATATATATGAGAATTTTTTGGTAAGCTCAGCAATTTTATGAAGGGTAATGAACTTCACTGTTTCACTATGGGGACATTTGTGAACGTTTTATACTTTGTTGTCCCTCAGTAATGGTAATAGAAAGTTGTTCTTGGTGTTCTGTACCGGTACTTAACAAAGCTTTGCAAGGAGTAGGTTTTCAGTAATTTTGAATGTTGAAATAAAGTAGGGAGCTGGTACAGAAGCATATTTTTTTATTCTGGGGAAACTACCCAAAGGGCCTGTTAGTCTCCAGTAAGCACAGTGTTCAAGGATTTAGGATACCCGGAAAGATAGCTGGTATTAGGAGACGATGGATGGTGGAGGGAGAGACGGTCTTGAACTTGAGGAGTACCCTCCGCAATGTTTTGCCCACAGGCTAGAAATCAAGCTTACGTGGCTGGTAAAGGGTTAATAACTTCCTGAGGCTGATATTTGCAAATTACCAAATTCTGCCCTTCACAGGCATTCTAAACACCCACAGGCTTTGTGTACCCATATCTGTGCCTACGCATTTCCATTATCATTTTAAAATCGCTTCACTATGCCTGGGTTATATTGGTTGCAGTAGTTTTACATAACTCTGGACACAAAGAAATCCAGAATGAAATAACACAAGCTGCAACAATTTAGGCAAGGCTATTTATAATGTTCGGTAACAGTTCAGTAACATATTGTCTGTATTAGAAGGTGGAGGATTATCTTGCCGATATGCAAATGCAAAGAATAACATTTTGAGCTCTCTGAGCAAAGGTGCAGTATGAATGCAAAATGGAACGTAATCATCGGTTGACAGGCGCCGGTCTTTGGGATCTCACTTCCTGGGTTACCTTAAACCAGCTTGATCTTATTCCTGACAGGGAATGTGACGTGGGGGATGGACTGAAGAGAGAAGCCCAAGATTCGGCCCCAAAAGGCCTCTCTGGGCGCCCCGGAGAGTTCTGCATTTTACTGGGAAAGCCAAGAGTGCTTGTGGCAGATCCCATCGTCCCTTGCTCATCAGTGATCCCCTCTTCTTTTTCTTGATTGTTAATGGGGGGAGCAATGTGACCGCTAGCTCCTGGGGAGGGACGACCATTGCTCTAAGGTAGTGGCCACCTCAGCCTTCTTTGCTAGATACTCGGATAAACTCATTCTCCACTTCTCAGCTCCGAAGACTGAGAGATAAGAGAAGGTCTGCGGGTTCTGAGAATTACTTTATCTCATAATAAAAAGAGACAAGAGAATAGAGTCTTGCCCTCCCTTCCTGCTTTGTGCAGGACTTGGGGGGACAGGGGCCATCTTGCGCTCAAGGAGAGCCAAGAGGAACTGGGAGGCAACAACTTGGACCCCATCACTGAGCGGCCGAAGGACCCCTGGAACCCAATAGTTTCAAGATTTTGTAGATAGTAACTGTCTTTATGGTACCTTCTCCCTGTCAAGGAAGGAGGCGCCCTGCTTCAAAGTTTGCCAGTTACACTGAGGTTTAAAAGACGGAGATTGCCTGGTGAGCGGGCGAAAGTCCGTGCACCTGAGGTAGGGCAGCTCACCGCCCGGAGGGCCATTTCCTGGAACACTTTCCCTTGAGAGCAGTCTGCTCTCAAAGCCAAGCTACTGGAATGATGGCCCCACACGCCCGCTTTCTGTCTTTTCCGGTTGGCACAGTTCATTCACAGTTCATTCACTTACTCATGCAGAAAGTCGGTCAGCGAACAAGGGACCTAGCGCGTCCTGGCGAGCACACGGCAGTGGTCTCTGCCCTTCCGGAGACAGGCAGGAAGCGAGTTCCAGACAGGGACAGCTGAGATCAGCGCCACCAAGGGCGCCCTCAGAGAGGGGGACTGGGAGATAGCAGTGGGGTGGCAGCGGCGCCAAAGAAAGCTTCCGAGAGAAGGGCAAGGAAGCAAAGCACCTCCGTTCCCAGGCTCCTGCGGGAGCCCCGAAAAGACTTCCACCGAGAAGTGAGAGAGCAGCTGGGAGGGGAGGGGAGACACCAAGCGGTGTAGACCGCAGAAACCGTGAGACTCGGAAGTGAGAGTGGTTGCATTCGAGGACGGCTCACAGGCTAATGGTTTGGACTAGTGGGTAGATGGAAGAGAAGGGACACGCACTGGTAGCTGGTTGTTGCAAACGCGGATCCCACCCCGGCCCTCGCTGCATCCCTCGCACCCTCCCCCCTTGAACGTGGGCTGGCTTGTGTCTCCCCGCGGCCGCGGCGATGGGCTCCAGCCAGGGGCCTAGGCTTCAAGAGGCCTGTTCTACTTCCACTCCCTGCTCGGCCACCACGGAAGCAAGCCCTGGCCAGCCTGCTGCGCGGGCAGAGACCCGCGACTCCCCCGCTGCCCCTCCCCGATGGCGGCCCACTGCCCCCCCACCCAGCCTCTGCCAGCCCTCTGCAGATACGGGAAGGGGCCCAGCCTGGGTGGGCTGAGTCTGGCCCTGACTGGGATGACCGCCCCACCGGCCTGGAGGCTTGTGAGCAACGATGGGGGTCTGTTGTTGGACGCCATTAAGTTTCGTGCAGTTTGTCACGCAGCAAAAGCTAACTGATACAACCGAGAGAGAGAGAGAGGGGTGAGTAAGGGCGGGGCCGTCCAGTAGGCAACGGGGCATCTGAGGCTGGTTCGCAGGAGGCCCGAAGCATGAAGTCCTAAACCTCCAAGGATGAAATCCCTTACTACGGCGGGCTCCCCAGACCCCCCAGACCAGGCCATTCTTCTCGTCCGCGGCCTCCCCTTCCGCTCCCCATCCTCACCCCAAACTTCATTTTCCACCTACAAGTAAGTACTTGAACAATAAAGCAAAAGCCTGACTCCAGTGCAGAGGGCAGTGTTACTTATGGAGAATCAGCCCAGAGCCGGGGCTCCCAGGGGAGGGTCTGTGTACTGAGGGCTCACTAATGCGTGGCTTCGGTCAAGGTCAGCAGCCTCAGCAGCCGAGGGTCGGGGTGTGAGGGCTGAGTTGCAAACAACTTCTGCCCAGAGGGGGCCTGCACGTGTCCGGAGCAAGGTCGCAGGGACCGAGTTCCCTTATTCTGACACCGGTTCAGGACTTCGCCCTCCTGTTTCCCCGTGTCACCCCTTAGCACCGTTTGAAAATAAAAAGGGCAACTACCCTCGACGGGAAGGTGTCCCTTGCGCTGTTGCAGAAACACCCAGCCGAGAGCAGGGTCTCGTCTTTCCTCCTCCAGCTCAGCAGGGACGTCGCATTCGCGCGCGGCTCCGGCGACGCGGCTCGGCTCCGCGTGCAGGAGCGGCCCCCGCGGCCACGCAGGCACCGCGCGGCCAGGGGCCCCGCGGCGCAGCGCGCGTCAGGGGGCGGGGCCGTGCGCACGCCCGCGGCCCCGGCCCCGCCCCCACGGCCGCTGCGGAGCGGGGCCGGGGGCGGGGGCGAGGCGGGGAGGGCGGGGCCGGAGGCGGCCGCCCCGCCCCCTCCCCGCGCGCTGGGCCCTTTAAAGCCCGCGCGGCCCCGCGCACCCCGCCGCGGCCGAGTCCCCGCGTGCTCTGCTCCGGCCCGGGCCGCCCGCGCTCTCCGTGCGGCCGCGCGCCATGTCCGGGCACTGCCTGCTCGCGCCCATCCCCGAGTCCTCGTCCGACTGCCTCCTGCCCAAGGACATCAAGCTGGCCGTGCTGGGCGCCGGCCGCGTGGGCAAGAGCGGTGAGTGCCCGGGGGCCGCTCACCCGGGAAGAGCGGAGGTGGGGGGGCGAGGGGGGAGCGCAGGGAGGAACCTGGAAGTTTCCGCGCCGCCCCGCTCTCCCGGCCGCTGCCGCGGGGGTCCGCCCTGGGCTCCCGCCTGGGTTTGCACCTGCTGGAGAATGGGGGTGGGAGTGGGGACTGGGCGGCGGGCCGAGCCCCTGCGGCCACGGCCCGGGCTTTGCAGAGCCTCGGCGTTTGCGCAGAAACCGGCACCCCGCGGCCACCGCCCCCTCCTTCTCCTCGAGAGCGCCCCGGGCTGCCCGTTCTGCCACGGTCGATGAGCTGATTTTCCCGGTCTTCCCTTTCAGCAATGATTGTGCGCTTCCTGACCAAGAGATTCATTGGCGATTATGAGCCGAATACAGGTTAGAACGATTCCGTGCCCTCTGCTTTCGCGGCTGCATGCTCCGACTTGCTTTCTCCTGGTAGGAGTGCAGGAATTTAAACGCAAACTCTCCTTCATTCTCCAGGCAAGTTGTATTCACGGCTGGTCTACGTAGAGGGGGACCAGCTCTCCTTGCAGATTCAGGACACCCCCGGGGGCATCCAGGTAAGCAAACTGCTCCCCATCTTGCACACACCCAGGGGCTGGCTCTGGGCTTGAGCAAGCCGTCCAAACACCCCCCCTTCTATGTTCCGATGTAGAAGTGGGCTGTCCCCAGGGGGGATCCCACAGGACCCTCCTGGAGGGGGCAGGGAGGGTGGATGGTTAGAGATGCCTGACCTTTCTTCACAGCCGTAGGGATGGGTCTCCCCACTTCTTTCCGAGCTTGCTGCCCAACCCTTAACAAAATTATTGGGGTGGGATTCCAGAGAAAGAGCTTCCCTAGTAGGGACCGCCCACGTGCTTCTGTTTCTCACTGTTCCCTCAAGTTAGTTCATTGCAACCAGATGACCTCTTAGCAAGCGGCCAGGAATTTAACTTGATTAACAAGTTATTAATTGCCCTCCCTTCTAGGGAGGAAAGGTCTAGTGGAAGAACAGAAAGAAGGAATTTGTTTCTGGAACGGTCTCAAAAAGGACAGGCTAAAAATATTTTTTTTTTATGGGCTTGGGAAAAGATATTTATCTTGGCTTGTTTTCAAAGGCTTGTTTATTCCCAGTTCCCTAAAGATTGCTCCATTCGTATTGGAAAGTTCTCGTTGAAGTTGTTCTTCAGTCAGCCAGGGCTCACCCCAGAATCCCTACCGGGCAGGGGTCCCGAAAGATCATGCATTGGTGGCAGCCAATAAAAGAACCCAGGCAGGGAGCTGGCCTGAGAATTTGCTCTTCCCATATCCAGAGCCGCCTTCTGCAGAAGCTAGGTAGAATCTGAAAACCGTGTTTATGATTTCTTTTTTGAACCTCGTTTCCCCGAGGGTCACTGTGATCTTATTTTGAGTCTTCTCCCACCGCGGGCTTCCTCGATCCAAACGCATTTTGATCTTTCTCAGGTCCATGACACCCTGGGCCAGGTGGTCGATCCGCTGTCCAAGTGCGTGCAGTGGGCAGAGGGCTTTCTGCTGGTCTACTCCATCACAGACTACGACAGCTATCAGTCCATCCGCCCCCTTTACCAGCACATCCGGAAGGTCCACCCCGACTCCAAGGTCCCTGTGGTCATCGTGGGCAATAAGGGGGACCTGCTGTACGCCCGGCAGGTGCAGACGCGCGATGGCGTTCAGCTAGCCCACGAGCTGGGCAGCCTGTTCCTTGAAATTTCCACCAGTGAAAACTACGAGGACGTGTGTTGTGTGTTCCAGCATCTCTGCAAGGAAGTCAGCAAGCTGCAGGGCGGCGGCGGGGAGAGGCGCAGAGCCTCCCTCATTCCCCGGCCGCGCTCCCCCAACATGCAGGACCTCAAGAGGCGCTTCAAGCAGGCTCTGTCTTCCAAAGTCAAAGCCGCCCCTGCCCTGGGGTGAACCCGGCTCCCCCAGACGCGCCTCCTTTTTATCGTGTGTTTGTGCAGCCGGAAAGACTGGGGGGAATCTCCCTTTTTAATCCCACAAAGTTTATTTTTATACAAACTCTTGGTTTTCAGGCGTATGTGTATTTCTGAAAATTCAAACAGGGATTGCCTAAGAAGTTGGATAGTTGTTTTTTTTTTTATTAAAAGGATTTTTTTTTTACTCTAACTGCTAGCCACTTTTCCATTAAAGGCGAAATGGCAACATGGCTCCTTGCTTTTTAAAATGTCTTTTTATAGAAGTCATACTTGCACTAGAGCCCAGAACGGCTCCACGCTTGCCCTTGGTCTGAACTCCTGTTGGTTTCTTTCGGGAAGGGGGTTGATGCGGAGGGAGTCTGTTATGGGAGAGAGGAAAGAATGTGGAGGAAGAAAGCTTTGAGCGACTGCAGGATGTCTTTAATTAGGGTGCTTTGCCACAGGCATGAAATTGATACCATGTGATTTTCAAGGAAAGGGGTTCGTTGTATGCTGGTGCTAGAAAATTACAAACATGAGTTAACAGTTTTATGTGTTGGTGCAAATGGAAGTTTATCCTCTCCACCCGTTCTAAAACACAAAAATGCCTCACATTAGGGGCGCCCTGGCGGCTCAGTTGGTTGAGTGTCTGACTTCGGCTCAGATCATGATCTCCCGGTTCGTGGGTTTAGGCCCCGCGTCGGGCTCTGTGCTGACAGCTCAGAGCCTGGAGCCTGCTTCGCTTTCTGTGTCTCCCTCTCTCTCTCCCCCTCCCCAGTTTGTGCTCTGTCTCTCTCAAAAATAAAAAAAATTTAAAGTTTTTTTTTTTTTTTTAAATGCCTAATTTCTTCCTGCGCTGTCTCCCGGACCCTCACATCTAATAGGGCATCTGATCTGTCAGTTCTTTCTCCTCTTTCTCTCTAAAGCATCACCCTGCCATCATTGAGGCCTGTACGGGGCATCGCCCAGACTGGCAGGCAAGGTGAGACTGTTTTCTTGGTTTCTGGAGTGACACCCCTTTCACTCTTTCTTCATGTCAGAACAACCGGACTAAAACCAACTCTAATCCCTTTGTTTTCATGATGAAAGAAACTCAGCTGTTTTCCCCTTATCTACTGGGTAAAAAGTAAATGAGGCATGGCATCGAGGTCATTTACCACCCCTCCAGCCTTCTCAACCCCTCCTTCAAATACACACACACACACACAGACAATGGACTGAAACCCCATTCTATAGAATGGTATGCTGTTCTCAAGACAGACCAGGCTCTTTCATTCTTCCTACCTTAACATGAACCATTCCCTGTGCCTTGAATGCAGTTTCCTCTTCTCCCCCTGAAAGCTCACTAGCTTATTTCTCAAGACCCACGTCCTGTGCTGTGTTCCAGTCCTGGGTGCTGTCTCTGAGGCTTCCTGTAGCATTTGTGCTACACCCAGCCACACCGTGCAGCTGCTTGTCACCCTACTAGGACTGGGTTTTAGGACTTGGTATCCCAATCTTCTGGCCTAGAGCTTGCACACAGAGCGGTGGGTTTTCAGTAAATGTTTGAGGAATATATGAGCCGAATGCATTTAATTTGGTGCCAAGGGACAGGGATGGGAGACGACAATGAAATAACCTGTCACTTTGCAGAATAAGGAGCGATGTCCTGAGTCGTTAAGGGTACTTGATTAGCAGCAACAGAGAAGAAGGGTCACATAAGCAGTTTCTGGCCATTTCATACCATTACCCTGCCTTCCAGGGACACCTGCATCCACATCTGTGCTGTTAACACCCTTCTTCCCTACAGTTGAGGGGTGTCTACCTGTGCTGAACGGCAGGAAGGATTATAAAAATTAGATAGTTCAAGGGGCACCTGGGTGGCTTAGTCAGTTAAGCATCCAACTTCGGCTCAGGTCATGATCTCATGGTTTGTGAGTTCGAGCCCCACCTGGAGGCTGCTTCAGATTCTGTGTCTCCCTCTCTCTCTCTGCCCCTCCCCTGCTCGCATTCTGTCTCTCTCTCTCAAAATAATAAACACTAAAAGAAAAAATTTTGCATAAAAGTTTTAAAAAACACAAAAATTAGATACTTTATGTCTAAAGCAGCACTGAAATAATCAAGCGAAAATACAGTTTTGGGTTCTGTCATGTTTGAAAAATAATGCCCAGTTCTCCTTGCTGATTTGCAAGGACAGAACGAAAGCAGTTCTTTCTATCATCAGTCACTCCTGCTTCTAGCCTCGCGTCTTACCTTTTGTAGGTTAGGACACGAAAATCACTGGGTGTCCTCGTTACCACCATGCTCGCAGCCTCCCGGGACCTCCATCAGGGGCCAGGGGCTCCTCTCTCTCCAAGGAGCTGGGCTCACACATCCCGTGGGAAAAGAACGATACGACACATGTCCCAAGGCTGGCTATGAAGACATTCCAAGCGAGCGAATGTTGAGGACAGAGTACCCTTGAGCTCTCCAGGCAGAGCACAGGGTGGACCAGAGGGGTCAAAAGCCGCAGGGCAGTTCCAAAGGGAGCAGCCGAGCCCCCAGGGACGTGTGTGTGTGTGTGCAAGCACCAATAACTGACCTGAGCCTCAAAGCTTCCTTCATTTCTGGTGACCAGAACTGACCCAGCCCCTGGTCTCACAGGGACCTCAGTACCCGTTCCCCGGACCTCCCGCTGAGGGGGGGCGAGGTGCAAGGCGGGGCCCAGATAGCAGCCCTGCAGCTGGGGGAAGGGAGCCCGGAGTCCACAGGGGGCGGTTAGGGAGGGACGCTGCAGGATTTGCGTGTAGCAAAGAGCATCTGAGGGTTTGCTCTTGACCGGGGGCTGAGGGGGCCCTCCGAGCGGGCGCCGAGCTCTGAGCTGGCGTCCCTCTCCCTCAGGCGTGGGGAAGGCAGGCCACCGGGGCCCCGGGTGTGACTAGCGCCATGGGGACACAGCTCCTGGAGCGCCAGGGAGACTGCTGGAGAGGCGGGAGGTGGGTGGGGGCATCTGCACATCATCTCGGGGCTGCCTTACCGCGGAGGGGTCATCCTCAGGGTCACCACCTCCATCCTCACGCCCCCCACCCCCACCCTCCCAGCTCTGTTCTCAGGATCCTCCGTTTCCACTGACCCCACTCATCCCCCTTCCAGTCAAGGCTCCGTCCCAGTTCTGCTCTGAAACTGCAGAATGATTTAATTAATGTGCCTATCAGTGTGGTCCTGGAGAAATGGAGAGCCAAGTGCCTAAATCGTACATCCGGGAAGCATTCTGTACTCCGCACGCCACTCAGAGGAAAGCAACCCCGACTGATGGAACACAGAATCCATTATAACCCAAGAAAATACATTTGTTTTGCCCGGGTTGAGGTGAAGGGCACAGCGGAAGTTCTAAAGTTTATTAATATCTCCTTGGAGGAACGGATTAAAATAAGTGGCGGTGGAAGGCGGCAGCGAACAAAAGAGCAGATGAGAGAAGCAAGATGACTGTTTAGTCATGGACTTGGGGCTCGAATAGCTTTTTTGTTCCACGTGTGTGTAGTAATTTCAGCTCCCCGCTGTGCCAAGTTACCGATCCAAATTCACAATACGACGGCATTTCGTATGATCAATAATTTATTCTTAGCATTTGACCCGTCTCCAAAAGGTGGTGTCTGTCTCAAGACTTTGTTAAAATTGGTCTGAAGCCACTTGGACGCCCCGTAAGAAAGGTGTGGTCTATAAAAGTAACCCCAACCACCAGTAAGTCATCTAGGGCTCTCGGAAAAATGAACCGATGCAAGCAACGATTAGTTTGCAGCAGCAAAAACGGCTTTCCGTATACAGAGCAGAGATTTGCCTACCCTGGATCGGCCGGCCCTCACGTTTCATGCCTGCATGTGCTTCTGGCCCAGGAGAAATGAGCTCCATCAGTGGATGGGCTCACTCATCTCGCCACAGCACTGCTACGGTGTCTGGTACAAGGCAGCGTCCTCAACAACATTTGCTAAGGAGAGCCATTAGAAGACGTACGGAGTATCTCCAGTTACTTTAGTACAGCTGCGCGTGCAGTGCTGTGGACGTGTATTCTGGCTACGTCAACCTGGCCCTCTGCCCATTCTCCACGGCATGGCTACTTGAACAAAATAAGCATCACTGCTTTCGGTTTTCCTCCTGTCTTTCTAAAGATGATCACAGTAATGATTTGCCTGGTTTCAAATCACATTTATGGAAAACCTGCTTCCTACAAGGTTCTGTGCCAAATGTCATGATCAAGAGAGCTCTCCCTCTCCAGAAACTCGGTCCCGAGGGAGCGCCAGGGACTTGGCCTTGAGGGTGGGACTCTGTGGGGTGCAAGGTGAAACACGATTCTGACCCAAATCTGAGGGTGTTGGGGCGCCTGGGTGGCTCAGTCGGCTAAGCTTTCAGCTTCGGTTTAGGTCATGATCTCACGGTGCATGGGTTCGAGCCCCGTGTGGGGCTCTGTGCTGACGGCTCAGAGCCTGGAGCCTGCTTTGCTTTGGATACTGTGTGTGTCTTTCTCTCTCTACCCTTCTCCCCTGCCTCTCAAAAGTAAATAAACATTAAAAAAATCCGAGGATGTTGACAAAATCAGTGGATGATACAGATCACAGAGCAGAGCAGGGCGCAGGAGCTAAATACTTCACACCGTGTGAAAGCACCCTTCCAGAGAAAATGACATTTCTTACTTTGCAAACTGGAAAGCAGTGTGGGTTTTTTGTTTTGTTTTGTTTTGTTTTGTTTTGTTTTGTTTTTTTGGAGCATTATTTGCTCAGATGAGGACTAAGGAGTTAAAATTGTAAAATATTTACCACTATTTCTCATTGGCATTCTGTATTTATATTAGAACAATGTTGTTAACAGCAAGGCTTACTTTTGTAAACAAATTTTGCCTGGAAATCCTAGCATGTATTTATTATGACTGTGGAAGATCAGGGAAATTTCGGGAGCTCCTACTGATGGGACAGTTACTCGCCGGCTTCATGAAGGTAGCATAGTGTGGGTCCCAGACTGAGATGAGGTTCAAATCCCACTTTACCTGCGTCAAGGTGCAATATAGGATTCTTTCTTTTAAAATGGACATAATACTTATCAGGCAGAATCGTCGGCAGCACTTGACACATAGAAGGTGTTCAGGAAGTTGTAGTTTATTATTACTATTAATTATTATTATTTAAATTTTTTAAATGTTTTATTTATTTCTGAGAGAGAGAGAGAGAGAGAGAGAGAGAGACAATGTGAGCAGGAGAGGGTCAGAGAGAGAGGGAGACACAGAATCCGAAGCAGGCTCCAGGCTCTGAGCTGTCAGCACAGAGCCCGATGTGGGGCTCAAACCCACGAACCGTGAGACCATGAACTGAGCCGAAGTCGGAGGCTTAACCGACTGAGCCACCCAGGTGCCCCTATTATTAATTATTATTAGTTTTAGGTTTTTTGGTTATGTTTTAAAGGTACATTGGTACATTATGAAGCTGTCTTTGGAAAAAGCGCTTTTTGAGCTTGCTTGTATCCTCGAGAAACTATAGTAGTAGCTCTGCAAGATGGGACTTTTCCATTTCACACGTGGGAGAAAGACAGTTTGCAGGGGGCAGTTTTGCCCTCAGTGATGATGCCTAACAATTATTGATCCTTCACTCTGCGCCGAGCACTTTTATTTTCTCTTTAATCCTTTGAGGTAGAGCTTTTATCACTCCCATCTCCCAGATGAGGAAACTGAGGTTC